CATTAAAAAATCTTACCATTTAAATATGCATTAATCATGTATTGTGGTGTTTGAGTCATAACTAAAATTTTAGTAAACTTGTGTTTGAAGGGATTGTTTAACTAATTGATATGATAATAAATCAACTATCTCTACTGTATTAATAACAATAAAATGTTGTTTTTTATTATTATACTTGCACTCATCACAAGACTACACTCTGCATACATACAAGGTTCTCTGCACGACAAGACTAAACATTGTGCGCCTACAAGGTAAGCTGCATGACAAGACTAAATCCTGCGCGCCTACAAGGTTCTCTGCATGACAAGACTAAACCCTGTGTGCCTACAAGATTCTCTGCATGGCTACCATCTGCACTCCGTATGCCTACCGTCTGCACTCTGCATGCCTACCGTCTACACTTTGATTCTATGCGTGTCTACCGTCTGCACTCTGCATGCCTACCGTCTACACTCTGATTCTATGCATACCTACACGATTCTCTGCATGGCTACACTCTACACCCTGCATGCCTATCGTCTGCACTCTAATTCTATGCAGGCCTACACGATCCTCTGTATGGCTACACTCTACACTCTGCATGCCTACCGTCTGCACTCTGCATGCCTACCGTCTACACTCTGATTATATGCATGCCTACAAGATTCTTACTATGTCTACACTCTACACTTTGCATGTCTACTGTTTGCACTCTGCATGCCTACCGTCTACACTCTGATTCTATGCATGTCTATAAGATTTTTACTAATAAATGTATACACATGGATACAATATTAGTCTCGCAGGATGTTGCATACTTGTAAGACTACACCTTCATATCTCCAAGACTACATTATACGTTGCATACTTGTGATCATTACTTTGTAATAAATGAAAAAATAAATATCTTTAAGATTACACTCTATCAATCAATGACTGTAATATTATCTGCATTCCAATGATCAAGAATCTTGTGAGACAAGACTACACTTGCACACTTCCCTTCACGCATGTCATAAAAATTCAACATGCATGCTTGACAACACTACACTCTAGCAGAACATATATTTTCACAACACTCTGCATGCATGACAACACTACACTAATATTTTTTACTTCACATGCATGAAATACCACACTTGCACGCTTCCCTGAACCATTGTTATCATGTTTCAGCATGCATTTATAGACGTAGTATTCACATGCCTACATTATTACCAAAGCAGGCCAACATTCTGCATAATGACAACATCACATCATGCATTTTCATGTGACTCATGCACTTAGAAACTTGCACACTTCAGCATGCATTTTCATGTGACTCCTCTAATCACATTTGACCATTATAAATACATGTTCATCAAGAAACAAACTCTTCTCATCCCATTACCAACTCTACTTCTCATACGTTCTACAAAATCTTCTTGTCACCCTGCAAACTTCATTCATCAAACTTCACTTAGCAAACTTCACTCAGCAAACATAACCCACAATGTCTCTATTCACTATGGGCAACGATCATAGAGGCACAATTGAGAACATCGCAAAGTTTGTAAGTATTTTTCTTTTTGTTGTCGATCTTTACGAAGTTCAATTTTCCTTTAAACCTAATGGCATTTATATTGTTTCGCAGGATGTATCAAGGTTTTATTGTCGTGTGCATGACTACATACCACACAACCCTTTAATAGAAAGATACCTAGAAGCATGTGGGTTCAGTGATTTGATTAAAATCAAATCATACTCACTGGATCTCAAATTTATTCTAGCGTTGTTAGAACGCTGGAGACCAGAAACACACACATTTCACCTACCTTTCGGTGAATGTACCGTAACTTTATAGGATGTATACATGTTACTTGTCCTACACATCAACGATAAGACTGTCAACGGAAAATTTGGTGTTAATGGCCAACTTTGCGAAGATTTACTGGGCACCCCTTTATGTGTCGACACACATCAGCCACAACGCGAGGGTCGACCGAGGGGGCAAGGTATTAATTTGAAATACCTCAGACAACACTACAATAATATCGTGTTAAATGAGGAATCCACCGAGTATGAAAAGATACTTAAAAATCGGTGTTATATTATGATATTGTTTAGCCATTTTTTATTTCTAGACAGTAGTGGAAATACTGTAAATATTATGTATTTACCTTTGTGGCACAAAATTAATAAAGTGTGTACATATAGTTGGGGTTCAGCTGTCCTAACCCATCTATATAGTGCATTATGTAAAAATGTAAAAAAAAATTCTTGTACTTTTTATGGTGCGCTTATCTCCTTCAAGCGTGGGGTTGGTATAGGATGCCAACACTTTCTCCAGTCAACCGCAATCCATTCACATTCCCATACGCTAACAAGTAAGTTTATTTTCAAGACGAGTATACAAATGATGTTTCTTTGTAACTTAATTATTTGTATAATGTTTCTTAGTATCTTATTTATTTGTGTTTCTTTTTTTTAGGTGGTCTGTTCCGAAAATGAATTACCAAAGATGTCATAGGAACTCCATAATCGTGTACCGTAATCCTATTGAACAGATCGGGCCAGATGATGTAATTTATCTACAATTACTTTCTCTAATTGATAAACACATACTTGTATTTCTCATTGCATATATTGTTAATGTAGTTTGTTTGAATGCCTTACGAGGGTCTCGACCACCAGCCCAACGCCAATGATGCTGACGTGTGGACATCTAAAACACATATCATTCGATTCACTACAGTGGAGATGCACCAAAGTGGCCAGGTGAAACTACAGTTCAGGATGCATCAGGATATTCCAGATGCTCCAACGTCATTGGGACACTGGCATCAGTTAAGGATGGATACACAATGGACTGTAAATCATTGGAAGGACTTTGCGAAAGAGATGTGTCTGCATTGGAATAATCGACATCAACACATCTTAACCGACCCTATTGTGGAAGGGGCTAAACCAAATTATCAATATATGATTTGGTTTAGGTCGGTTACAACCTCACAACCATTTCTGTCTGAGCCGACATATTTGATTGACCCAAGGCAACATGGGTCTTCCTCGAATCCACAACAATAACCCAATGCCCAACATCAAACACCATGTTATACCCAACATCCAACTATGCCCACCCAATCAATCCTCCAAAACTGCAACCCATACATGCCATCAACCCAATCACAACAACAAGAGCCTTACCCCTATTGTCATCCTTTTGAAACCGACACCACTTCTGCATATAGCCCTGATACATCTTTTGGCCCTACTCCATCCACCTATAGCCCAGATAACTCTTTTGACCCCACACCAGACAATCAATTTTCCTACCAACAAAATACCTATCCAATTTTTGACTACCAAATCCCACAACAACCAATACATCGTTTTCAAACTGATTCGATGTACCAATTCGGACAACCATACCATCCACACCGCACCCAACTTCCCCGACAAAACTACGAAAACATGGGCATTGAACTTAATTACGGAAGCGCCGTTGACAGCGGTCAACCTGACTTTTGGGGTCAAATACTTCAAAATCTATCTGATACGTCGGGGCCATCTCAACAAATTCTTCTTCCACAAGTAAATACGCAAAGACCAGATACACCTCAACAACCTCGTGGTAGACCTCGACGGCGCGCGCATCTTCTATAATGTGGTACCGATGGTTGTTTAGATAGAGTCCGCCATTAATCTTCTTTTTTTCATCTGTTGTAATTTATATTATATTATAAATTATTATAATTTACTATTTCTTGCATTTATATTTTTTTTAAATTATTATTTTTTTTTTTAATTTTTCTAATTAAACGTGACAATAACTAAATATTTAATATTTAATGTTAATTAAAGTAATAAAATATAACAAATATCATAAATTAAAAAAAAACAAAAAATATTAGAATTATATTTTTCAAAATATAAAAAAAATATAACAAGTATAAAAAGTATAACAAATAATTTTTATAAGGTTTTTAAAACAAATATAAAAAATTAAAAAAAAAAACCTACATGATATGCGTCATTTCATATGACGATTCAATTTAGGATTTTAGGGCACTCAATGAACCCATGCACCATGTAAAATGGTGATTTAGGTCTGAGGGATTTGCGTAGTCATTTCATATGGCGAATTCTTTTAGAAATTCAATCATTTTTGTAATTTTTTAAAAATAATTATTTATTTTTAAAAATGATTTTATATTAAAAAAAAATTCTTCTTATGTGTTGTTATTTGGGGTTCATTTTTTCATATAGATTTCTCTTGGTTAAATAATCCAATGCTTAGTAATATTATACTTTTATTTTTCACAAGTTCAGTCCATTAAAGATAACATTATTCTACTCATTATCAATCACTAAATATCTGTACTTTTTAAGGAAATGGATTCGTGCAGTCAAATAGTAAATAGTAACTAAGTAACTGCAGGATAATCTCTTTCATTTGATTGTTATGTTTGTTTATATATGTTTATTAAACTTTAAATGCGAACCTTTCAATTTTAATGCTAAGGTCCACAAAGTATCAGACTGCGTGACAGTGTGCTTTTTCGACTGCAGGCGATCACGATCCTTTTTTTAATCATGATTCCAATTTTAATTAATCACATTGGTAGAAGTTTAATTAATACCTTGAGCAATACTCGACTCCATAAGTAATTGCAATCTTAGTTTAGTTAATTGATTTTTGCTATATAAGCTATTTAAAAGTCAAACCTAAAGGCTCATTGGCAGTTCAATACCGTTTAACCACTGCCCAGCTAACATAACCCCTTCAACTATACAACATTATTTTTTTAATTTTTACAATTGCATACAATTAAATTATTTAATTTGTTATGTTGTGTATTACTTTTACAATAATAGCATATACAAATTAAATTAAATTTTTTTAATAGTTCACTTTAAATTTATTATTCTATTAAAATTCATTATTTTTGGGAGTTAGACTTAGGTCATCCAATAAAGAGCAAACTTCAGTATATAAACTTCTCCTATAATCACTTATATCTCATTTTATTCTCATCATGGAAAATTTTCTTCTTCTTTCTCTTCTGTTTTCCATGGCAATTATCACATGTTCCGCCACTACCTACACTGTCGGAGATAACTCCGGCTGGGACATTAGCAGCAACCTGGAAACTTGGGTTGCTGATAAGACGTTCAAGATAGGCGACGCTCTTCGTAAGTAACTTAATCTTTTATTCAATTATTAATACTTGAAATGTAAAGTTAGTTATAGCTTCTCAATTTTTTTTTTCAGTTTTTCAATACTCGTCTACTTATAGCGTTGACGAGGTTACGAAACAGAACTTTGACACGTGCAACACAACGAAAGTGCTGGCGAATTACAGAAATGGAAACACGACGGTGCCATTGACAAGAGGCGGAGACAGGTATTTTGTATGTGGAAACAAATTGTTTTGTCTTGGTGGAATGAAACTCCATGTTCATGTAGATGATGATGGAAAATGGATTTCGCCGGCTTTGGCGCCTAAAGCAGTGGCTGGATCAGATCAAAGGACAGGTACATTTCAAGAGTCTCCTTCAGGAAAGAAGAGTACACCGTTTTCAAATGGAGTTGCAAATTGTGCGGATATTGTTTATATTGCTGTTGCTACAATTTTATATGGGATGCTGCAGATTTGAGAATCTAAGAATGGTTACGGTTATAAGTTCATGTTTTGAGTATGAGTATATTGTTCTTTGATGTTAATTAAGAAAAAAAAATGGTAGTTTTGCTTGGTTTGTAAAACTCATGAAACTTACGAAGTTACGATGTACATGATTTGTTGAAGGGTTAAATGATAGAGATATTCATTTTGTTTGCGTAAACCACTTTGCCATATTTGTTGCTCATGAAAATAGTTTGCTTGAAACTTGAAGGTGTTGTTTACATATGTTTTGACTCGACAAATTAGAGAAATAGTTACAAAATCTTATTGGAGTAGTATTTTTTTAATAGCAAAATAAATATATAAAAAATAGAGAATTAAAAATCCATAGACTAAACAAGAGTCAACTATTCAAATAGTATAAGAAATATTGTACTGAAAAAGAAAAAAAATGTATCAAACAACATTTGAAGAAAAATCACACAATTGAAATCCACCCTAGGGATTTAGACTAGTTCTTAGATCACGAGAATTACCATCAACACAATAGAGATTTCAAAACAAGACAAAAATTGTACAATTTCATATTTGAACAAGATCTAAGCTCTTGATTAGTTATTGGTAAAGACATAAGAAAGGGTTCAAAAGTCAACTAGAGAAAGAACATGAGTTAGCATCTAATTTTTAAAAAAATTAATTTCAAACAAATTTTTTTTTCCTTCCACTATTTTAGGAAAAAATCATATATACGTCAAATCATAGCAAATCCCCATCTAATCTTAGCTCTATCCCATAAATAGATAAACAACTCAAAAAGAATTCAAGGATCCCTAGAGAGAAGAACCAGACACCATAACCACTTAAAAACCCTACACTATACAGTCAAACCTATATTATAACTGACAAACAGATGAAAGACTGATTATATCAAGTCCCCACACAAGAAACAAGGGAGACCAGATGGGTCAACAATTACCTTCTGTCTGAAAAAATTCGCTTTAGAAGGGAACATATCTTGCAAGAGCTACCAAGAGAGGAATTACTAAGATCTGATTTGATATGATAAGTAAAATTGAAATTCCCATCTCTAGCGTGCTTCCAAGTCCACCTACCAATTTCCTAAACAAAAATTAATATGAAAGAGTAATGAGACAAAATCAAAAATCAAATATTCTTCGTGCACGAAGAATGATATCCTTCATCTCAAATCGCAAGAAATTCTCTCATCCACCCAACAGCTAATCTCACCCACACTCTCATCTTGATATTGGGATATTGTAATAAGAAACCTAATGTTTAAGGGAAAAACGTAATGACAACCTACCCCTGGACAAAGAAGAAACATTTAACCGTCACATCTAACTAACTGTGATGCCTAATAGCTTTGCCTAGCATATGACCCTCTACTCTGAATGTCTGTTTGAGCTAATCTACTTATGTGTTCTGAGTGAACTGAATTTGTGTACTGGTGTGGGCTAACCTAACTGACTACTGACCTTGTTTGGTGCATGCATTTTTCTTTGTGCTTGACTAATTATGAGAGCATCATTGTGTAACCGACTGATATGTAACAACCACTTGAACTACTGATGTTTTCTACTGAATTCTACAGTTGATGTGTGTTATTCTGATTTTGTACTTCTTATGTTACTGATGTTTGTTTTGAATGCTTGTTTATGGTTGATGACAAATTTACTAGCAAGTGTACTAGTGTTGTTATCGAAGTAATACAAATAAGTTCATCTCCATAGGGATTGCAACCAAGTTTTGTTTTGGTCAAAATGAGAGATAAGTGTTTATAATGATGATGATGATGATGAAAGCAACCAAGTTTGATCGTCAGAATCCCTAATTTATACTTGATGATGAAATGTGCCTTAGCAGACATGCAGTGAATGCAAAGTTACATGATAGATTAACTCTAACACTACACTCAATCCTTTGGCATGTAGCTCACTAACCTAAGCTTCAATTCCCCGATACCTAGGGCCAATTGTAACGTCAAACTAGATAACATAGGTCATTAATCCCTAAGTCACAATTCTTAATTATATTATCCATGGTCAATTAGTGAATTCAACAATTAAAGTATGCTAGATAAATAGACCTACGGCCAGTACTCACTATTTGCAAGATCAAATTGAATATCGTAACAAACAATAGGAAATGAATACAATCAATAACTGAATAATAACAAAGATTCAAAGCAATTACATTAACCTCATTCGATCATATATCTCAATCAACTAGAAATAGGTTCATCATCAAATAAAACCTCACCTATAAGGAGTCTAGATATTTGTGTTAAAATAATTTAATACCATATGTGTAAATGCGAAGAACATGGAAAATCATTGAAGAAGAAGCTCTCCAATTGCTTTAATGGCCTTCCAAAAGCTCCAAAATCTCTCTTTAACGTCACTTTCTACTCCTTGGAATCGAACCCCTATTTATTCTCCTATTTTTTCTTATAAAGCAGTCAGAAAAACGTGTCAGCAAAAATCTGCAACGTGGGGGCGTTGGCTTTGAAAATGGGCGCATTGGCTTTGAAAGCGGGAGTGTTGTGCAACTATGATCTCAACACGGGCGCGTCAGGTGATAACGTGGGCGCCTTGCATAATTATGAGCTCACCATGGGCGCATTTTAGTGTTGCACGACCGTGTTTTTTCCAAAAGCAAAGTAGCATGTTTTTGCTCTTATTTTCACCAATATTCTGACTAAGTGCTTTTCTTATCCCAAAAGCGCTTTTTCTTGCTAAATGACGTGCATTGATAGCTCGTCATCAGTGGTGCTCAATGTGTATTGCATATCTTGTAATTTATGAAAGAGTTGTTTTGCTAAAAATTGACAAAGGGAGGATTGTTGTTCCTTTTAGACTGGCTGCATTATGCAAAACAACATGGAGTGTACAAGATGTTTTGGTTAAGAAAGGAAACATGTGGGACATGATGTTCTAGCATGTATGGCACATCTGGCCCCTGTTTCAGATCACACTTTGGTGCATTTTTGTGTGATTTCTGAGCATGCTTCTGGATTCGTGTATGATTGATTTATGGCTCTATTTCAACAATCTAATTAGTTATATTTGTTTGATAATTTAATAAGATAAAATTTTAATTATGGAGATTTAAATTTGAATTCAAATCAAATCAAATCAAATCTTTTAGTGAAGATGTTTTGAAAAACAAATCTTAACCAAATCTCCACCATATATGGAGATTAAAATTCAAATGCCCATTGAAGAAAAACTCGGCTATGGATTTCTATTTAAAAAGACTCATTCTAACTTTGCAGTTAATGAGCTTTAAAGAAAATTATTTGTGTTAGGGTTTTATTTGAGTCATTTGCTTATGTGTCTTGTACACCATGCTAGACCCTATATTCAGATCATAAGGCATAATGTTGGTTTGTTTAGTTGAGTTGTAACTCAACATTCTTTAATTTGTTCATTGAAGTTGATCACTAGGGTTAGTGATTGAGACAAAGTGAAAGGGATTCTCATATTTAGGAGAAATTTTAAATAGAAAGTTATTGGGTAGTATTAGAAAGAGGTTGTGAACAAGGCGTGCTCATGTAAGACTAAGTGTACTAATACTATTGATAGTGAATTTCTTTTCTCAGGTTGGAAGCCCCGCATACGTAGGTGTGATTGGCACCAAATTGGGTTAACAATTTGATGTATTCCTTTATTTCTTTTTTGCTTCATTATCTTGTATAAGTTAAATTGTCACAACTTGATTATACATATTATCCTAGATATTGTGTCCAACATCTGTCCCCAAGAACAAAATTTCATGGCTTATTCACATTGTGAATCATATGAGAAATATAAGTAAAGTTTTTTAAAATGAGGATTTTGTTATAAAATTTATTAGATGCTTAAATTTTAGTTGGCAACCTAAAGTCACTGTGATTTCTGAATCTAAGTGGTTGTCTTTTATGGATTTAGCTAATTCTTTTGGAAATTTGCAAGAACATGAAATGGAGCTAAAAAGGATATTTGAGGATGAATGAGGCGACAGGAAGAAGAAAAACCTAGCTCTCGAAATTGAAGAATAAAAATATTTAGATGTTGATGAAGATATGGCATTTCTAGTATGAAAATTTAAAAGACTCATAAAGCATGATAAGCAACAATAATATTAACATACATGTACATATATAGATTATTTTTCCCTTTTTCTTATTAATAGATAATGTACATCTATAGAGTATTAGGTGAGCTGGCAGGTTATGATTGGTTTTTTCCAACTCTGTTATATATTTCCTCTTTAGGCTATTGGTTGATTATGAATTGTAACATATTCTGTTAGCTTTCTTCTTCATCAATGAAGCTTTTCTGTTATTCTCTGCGTTCTACATCTTTCTGTTGCAATTGTTTCACCATTATTGACATGGTATCAGAGCGATAAGCTCTGGTAGCCATTCCTTTCTTTCTCACGCGATTCGTGTTCTGTTCTCGCGCCTTTGTCTTCTCCATTTGTTTCGTTTTCTTCTTCTTTCTTTTCTATCTGAATGGTAAACCAGAGCTATGGTGATTACACAACCAACTCTGCGAACCCTTACTATCTTCATCCTAACGAAAATCTTGCGCTTGTTCTTGTTATGCCATTACTCACTGATAAGAACTATCACACATGGGCTCGTTCAATGCAAATTGCTCTCATTTCCAAGAATAAGGAGAAGTTCATCGACGGAACCCTAATCAAATCGTCGGTGTCAGATCCTTTGTATGCTTTGTGGGTCCGTTGCAACACTATGGTTCTTGTTTGGATCCAACGATCAATTTCAGAATCCATTACAAAATCCGTGTTGTGGATTGAGATTGCTTCTGCCTTATGGAAGAACCTGAAAATTAGGTTTTCTCAGGGTGACGTTTTCCGCATTTCTGACATCCAAGAAGACCTCTACAGATTCAAACAAGGTACTCTTGATGTATCAAACTATTTTACTTAATTAAAGGTTTTGTGGGATGAATTAGAGAATTACAGACCTATTCCTACTTGTACATGTGCTATCCAATGTTCTTGTGG